ACAAAAAAATGTAGCATGTTTCAAACAAACACACCCCTCTCCTAAAAATGGTATGAGTAATTTTTTATATGCAACATCATCACTATTAGCTAATGTTGAAGTGAATTTCCATGCTATGCCAGGACCTGCACATAAATCAAGAAGCCAGAAATGTAAGGAGAAGAAAAAGAGGGAACTAGCAAGGGCTTTGCAGCCAAATAATGATGGAATGACCAACTGTTTTCAGTCAGCTCAGAAAACTGCTCCCAGCCAGACTGAAGAGGAGAGTAGAGTCTACAAGCGCTCTTAATAGCTAAGAGAGGTTTAGGGTGTCCACAACAAAGTGCAGAAACTCTACAGTAAATTACCAAAAATACTGGAACATATTGGAGATAGAAATTTGCCCTTGCAGAGTGACTGCCTATCTTTGGATCAGGAAGCCAGCCGGAAATAATTTCTTCGTGAAATAAGTGGGATTCAGTGCTTGCTGAAGCTCAAAATATAGCTCATGCAATGGGCATCCCACCTAACTTAACCCACAGCAGGCAGAGAAAGTGCCATCACACTAAAGAAAGGTCAGATGTACAGAATACTCCTGATGTAACACGTGTGTGTGTGTGTGTGTGTGTGTGTGTGTGTGTGTGTGTGTGTGTGTGTGTGTGTCTCTAGCCCCCGTCACTCAGTTTCTCAGTTTACATTTATGTGTAAGAGAGAGCACATGCATTGATATGAGTAAGTGGCCTTGTATAAGCTACTTACCCATACTGAGTGTACAGTAGATAGCGGCCAACACACCCCTTTGGAGAAGCAGACAGGAGTACCAGCAGAAGGTTGCTTTGCTTCTGTGCTGGTACTCCTGTCTGCTTCTCCAAACTAGGGGTGTGCTGGCCGCCATTTACTGAAGGTAAAACAATGACTATGGATAAGTACCTCAGTACAACCCCACTTCAAAAAACCCAATTATCCCTTTAAAAATCAACCCCACACCAGAACTTACAAAAAGGAAAAGCACTGCTATGACTTCTATCGGTCAAAAGCTAAAAGTAATTTTCCATTGTTGTGCTGCAGAGATGTCCTGGTCTATACATCGTATTCTAGAGACTTAAGAAAGCATCTTTGTTTGGTACAGATCCCCGCAAAAAACATTAACCTTAATTCATTTTAGATTGAGAATAATGACGTAAACATGATCATAATGAATAATGACGTAAATATGATCATCCCATCTCTAGTTATCGCAAATCATATTGCAAGATCAGTCAAAATTCCTTCTCCAACCCCCAAAGATATTTTCTATCTTCTCTACCCTCCTTAGTCCGCCCGCCTCCGAGTGACTTTGTTAACTGCTTTGAGAAAAAAAAACAATCCTACTTACTTAGCTTTCTGCATATCTCCACCAGAACAACCTTCTTGACCCTAACCGGTCTGGTTTCAAGACCGGCCACTCATCTGACACCTTGTAGCCTCACTACTGGGGTCCCTCGGGGTTTCTTTTCTGGGTCCCCTCATCTTTTCTCTTTACACCAAGTCACTTGGCTCTCTTATTCACTCGCATGGCTTTCCTACCACAGTCATGCAAATATCACTGAACTAATTCTGTCTTCTGTTCCAAGACTCAGTAACTTTTAACTTCTGAATACATGGTACAACTAAGGGCAGAGGTAGAAAAAGAAACCATCTAAGTTGGAAGTTGAAAGGACATTTTCAATAAATAAATGAATGCGTCAAGATGATACATTTGTTGTGAGGTCTTCACGAGAACATAATTACTATATAAAGCCATAAAAATGGACTACAGACAGGAAACTCAAAGACAAACATAGAAGAAGAAAGAGTCTCTCACTCTGGATTGCTATCTCTCCCTAAGTTAAGGTATCAGAAACAATATTACAATACGACAATGAACAAAAAATTACCTGAATTTGAGTGGGACTACTGTTTTTTATCTGACTTCCTCTGATGAACTTGAAAAGCAATTTGCTGGCAAAATCGATTGCTGCACTGTGCAGGCCCGATAATTAAGGGTTATTTTGTCAGAGTCAATAACAGGAACTGATCTTGTCCATAAGTTGTTAGAACCTGAAAGATTTGGAAAGAACATTATGACAAGACAAGTAAAGAACAGCCTTGCTAAATAGTTTGTCAAAGAAAATATACCCTGTATGGAAGTAATGTGTGATATTGTGGATGTTAAAAGGCAAGCAGAAAGACAGAAAAACTCTACCTTGGGTAAAAACCCCAGTTGAATGCAACCTTTCAAATGCTTACATGACTAATCAACATCCACAAGCTGACACACAATTTCTAGTGTTCATCTTAGGTTGCTTCTTTTTACCCCTCTACCATGCAATAGGGACTGTCACATTTCCTGTGCTTAATGCTATGCTACAATTGCTTTATTAGACTAAAGACATAACCTTACAAACATTACAGAGTGACATCCTCTCACTGTTTTGTTCCTAATTGAAAGGTTCCATTAATTCTTATTGTTTAGAACATGGCATTTACATTACATTTGTATCAAAGGTTTATAGCTAATGAGCAGAGACTTGAGAGAAGAGCACAGAAATCAACTATTATTATTCGGTGTGGTCATTTCATTTTGTTTACTCTGATCTGCTTGCTCAAAAATAAAAACACCCAATTTGCTCACTGAAAAGATGTGTTACTGTGGCACTGACCCTTTGCCAAAACCCACATTCCACTCTGAATAGATAAACAAAGTAGCCAAAAAGGCTATTATCACTGTGAATATAATGTCTACTTAATGAAATAAAAATCTTCTTATCTTAACACACTGAATAATAACTTTGAAAAATAACTGTATTTTTATTCATACTTGATTAAGTCGAGGTCTGCCAAAAATACAGTGCTGGTCTCAAAACAAACTGTTCCAAGTGCCCATCCAAACTTAGCAGTTTGTGTACAGGATGGCAGGGATTCTCTTATAAAACAACAGAATAAAGACGTTTCGAGGGATATAAATGCATATTTAATAAGAAAAACTGAATGAATACTGTTTCATACTGTGTCCTCTTTAATGTTTAATGCTGATCCAGATGCTGCTGCTCTTAAGTGAGATGGAACATGATGCTACATGGCTATGTTAATAAGAAGACAAGCCCACACGCACGTATGCATAAACGTACAATCACTGACACACGGCTATAGTAGCAACTGGGTCTGACAGCTGAACACATCAGTCATGCTGCTCCTACATCCTCCACTGGGACGGGAGGAAATAGGGAGGAACACAACAAAGAGAAAGGACTCAAACCATGGGAAAGGTTTGAATTAGTGAAGTATTTCATGCCTTTCTCAACAAATATAAAATGCATTACCCGTGAACAGTAACAAACCAGGCGGCCGGCACACTGCCGAGCAGCAGTGCTTTTCTGTGCCTCTTCATATGATGAGAACTGCGTATTATGATTACTGTACAATAAAATGCAGTGCGTGAATTTGTGCAGGCTCTGGCTCATTACCCTAACAGAAAAGTACAATTGTCTGCTGATGGACATCCTTTCTTTGCGCTCGTCAGAGAACATCTGCTTGACTCTCCATCTACCTGTTTGTCATTTAGATCTACCTCCATTATTCAACACCTTGACCATAAGGAACAAGGGTGTGTGTGTGTGTGTGTGTGTGTGTGTGTGTGTGTGTGTGTGTGTGTGACAGGTAGATAACACCTGGATGAATAATTCAAACTGGCATAAGCTAGCTGAGTCAGTGACAAGACAAGAAAGCAAACACAAGACATGTGAATAAATCATCAGAGGAGGGACTAATAGAGTAAGCACAGAAGAAGACAAGACTGATAACATCTCTTGCTACCTGCTGCTCTAGCTTTAATCATTCCAACAACCTTGTACATGAATATTCCTTATCTTGCCAGCCATGCTAATGTGTAAGGATGTAACTGTATGGTGTCTTGTCATTTTACATTACCACCAGGAAGAGTCAAAATTGCCCACCAAAATACAAAACAGCTTGATAACCTTAGGGACTGCTGACTGTGAAGTGATATGTAAGAGGCCATACTAAAACTGCTAAAAAGGGGGGAAAATATGAGATGTGAGACAATACACAATGTATTCTATTTAGATAGAGCTGGGCATTACTTCAATATTACTGTTTATCCTTTCTCACTTGAAACCTATGTAGTATCTTTAACGCAATTTTGTATTTTAATGGTGCAAATGGAGAAATTCAAAGGCTATTTAAAGTTTAGCTAAATGGCATGTTAAAATTGAGAAATAAAGATCGCAATTTAGATCATGATTGCCATTAAATCGATTGTGAATTTTTTGGGGGGGCCAGATCGCCTACCCCTTTCCACCAGTACATTAAAATAACACGTCAAGGATGGTATTGGCCAAGGAAATCGTGAAATAAATGAGGCATTGAAAAGAAATCAGCATTCTAGTTTTTTAGCGTTTATAAGACCTCCACCTGCGCTTGAAACAGCAGAGAATATTAGACTAAATTGAACTCCAGCAGATACCTTCTATCATTATACATTCACTGAAAGCAGTTTGTTTGCTAACAGTAGCCTAGAGGGTTAGTACAAGTACTCACACACTTGCCTGTATCTTTGTCATGTAATTTCCTCCTCAATGAAGACACATGGCCAATTACTCACAAGCACAAATGCATGTACGACACAAAAAAAACAGAAACGCATTCAAATTTTTCTTCCTTGTTGTACCACTCCAGCTTAACCATTCCATTTTTTTCTCCCTAGCACCACAATGAAAATTTAAGCCAAAGTGCCACAGTCATGAACCAGAAAGATGCGACAAGGAGGGAGACGGAAGAAAAAGTGAAGTGGAGAGATAAGGAGTAGGTGCTGAGTAGAAACATACTGTCCAGAATAATCTATGTGGGAATCGTGCCCTAACCCTGAGAGAAGGTGTCTATAAAAGTAAAGCTCATTGAAACAGCACAGAATTATATAATAAATTAAGTCAGGCAGATAGAAATTAAATAAATACATGTGTAAAAACTGTAGTGAGTCTTACCTGTTCTTTGAGAAGAAAAAGTGAGAGCAACTCTGCTGAGTAATTCTGGTTTCATATATTGGTTTTCATCAGCCAGCACCCAGAAACAGCCCTCTGACATTTCCTGGGGTCGAATCTGAAAACACACATTTGGCACATTTGGTTAACACGTAGCTCTGAATTTTACAGATTATAGTGGCTACAGAGGAAAACGTCAGTATAAAGAAAACTCATCATTCTAATTAGATATTAGTTTAGGGCTACAAAACCAGACCATTCATTATATTCTTGTTAACATGTTGCACAGTACATACAGTATGTCAAACTCAGTGTAGAGGAGTTGGCAGACCCTTTTGCTTTTTGCTTTTCGCTTTTCTTGTTTGTTAATATATCATCTGAATACTGTAGTTAGGCACATCAAGTACAATGCTTTTTTTTCTTTGCCAGTTACCATGTTCCAGATGGTTCCGAATAGCAGCTGAGTAAAAGTAGAATCCAATCGTAATATGGTAGAAATACAAACACACACACACAGTTACGCTTCACATTCCTTTGGGATACAAAAACTGTTTTTAAAAAGATGACTTTGAAATCCTTAATGAAAGACATCAAATAAAAAATGTATTTGTAGAGATGAAAGGTCTATGTCCAAGTGACCCAAGAAAGGAGGATCAATTGTGACTCCCTCCCCTGGCCATCAGAAACACAAGATTAAACTTTACTCTTCCCTGCAATGTTAGGGTTGATGCTATAGATTACAAGTGCTAGGTCAGGAATAGGATCTCCCTTCAATATAATCATAATATGGAATCGTAAAGTATTTCAGTCTTGCTTCCCAGTAACCTCTCAGCTACTGAGCGGTGTATTAAAGGTGAATTTCACTGGTCATGTTTTATCCACTGCCTCCTGTGTTTCCACACATGAAGACATCTTCCCACCATTCACTGCTTTATCTGATATACACTGGTTCTCATTCAGTCATCAATTGTCTTTCACTGTATTTACAACTTTGTTCATGCATTTATTAATTATTCATCGCTGTATTCATAAAATGTATTCATGGTTGCATGTATCCATTCATTCAATTTAATTCAAGCTCCATTAAGCAATATTTTCAACATTTTCTGTGATGTGAAAGGGTTGCTAGTGCTGGTGATGAAGATACATGGTTCCAGTAATCCAAGGACATGGATTACTGGAACCATGTATCTGCAGTCTGCTTGTCTTCAGCAAACTGCTTTCTTTTACATCATCTTTAGAAGAGGCTTCCTTCTGGGACGACAGCCATGCAGACCAATTTGATGCAGTGTGTGGCGTATGGTCTGAGCATTAACAAGCTGACCTGCTGACCCTTCAACCTCTGCAGCAATGCTGGCAGCACTCGTACATTTCCCAAAGACAACCTCTGGATATGACGCTGAGCACGTGCACTCAACTTCTTTGGTCGTCCATGGCAAGGCCTGTTCTGAGTGGAACCTGTCCTGTTGAACTGCTGTATGGTCTTGGCCACCGTGCTGCAGCTCAGTTTCAGATTCTTGGCAATCCTTCTTACAGCCTAGGCCATCTTTATGTAGAGCAGAAGTTCTTTTTTTCAGATTCGCAGAGAGTTCTTTGACATGATGTGCCTTGCTGAACTTCAAGTGACCAGTATGAGGGAGTGTGAGAGCAATAACACCAAATTTAACACACCTGCTCCCCATTAACACCTGACATCTTGTAACACTAATGAGTCACATGACACCAGGGAGGGAAAATGTCTAATTGGGCCCAATTTGGACATTTTTACATATGGGTGTACTCCCTTTTGTTGCCAGCGGTTTAGAAATTAATGGCTGAGTGATGTGTTATTTTGAGGGGGCAGCCAATTTACACTGTTATACAAGCTGTACACTCACTACTTTTACATTGTAGCAAAGTGTCATTTCTTCAAAGTGTCATTTCTTCATGATCAAATATTTACAAAGATGTGAGGGGTGTACTCACTTTTGTGAGACACTGTATAGATTTTCCTTAGGATTTGGTAGACCAAATTTAGGCTGAAATGCTCATTAAAATGGAACTTGAGTTCCCACTGGAATCATATTAAGCATGTCAAGGCTTTGCTGCTGCTGGGTTGTTTGGGGGGCTTGTAAGCAAAAACATGTTTAATCACTGAGCTCATTAATATGTTTAGTCACTACTCAAAAACTTGCTGAGCCACTCGGCAATAGTTGGACGTCTGAAATCTTATTATTGAAGAAGTTTTAGAACAGCTTTGTCCCAAACATAACCATATGTGGGGGTCTCATCCAGCTGTGCCATAAGTCCTCCTCATGTCCTACTAAAAGGTTCACTTGAAAATTCAAGCATATGGTTTAGTTTGCTAAACACCTGTACTGATACACATCTGAGATTCAATTATTAATCAAACCACAAACTAACATCACTTGTGGTGTGAACTAATATTGCTCTGCAGAGAACATCTGTAGAGGTACCACTAAGGCTGCTCTGACAATAGCGTCTGATCATCTGTTATTTTCAATTATAACTGGCTTGGCACAGAAGTAGGAACTTGTTGTTTAATTCTTAGAAAAACATCTGTACTTTTCAGACACTGCCAATGAACATCAGAAAACAAAGTTAAAAAGGGTCGTTAAAAATACCTGGCCTAAATTTTTAGCTTCTTGTCTCAAACTTTTGTTAACCATAATATAGCACAGTGGGAAAAATCTCTAATATCTCTGTTTATACTAGGACTGCCCGATAAATCTGATCGCAATCGCAATGTCATGTGCGATTACATAACTGCAAAAAGTGTGCAATTTAATAAAACAGAAAAAGTGTGCGACACTTTCTTCTCTGTGTGCACTGAAGTCTGCTCATTACCCCGCCCACACCGAGCAGATAACGTTACGTGCAAACAGAAAAATGATTTATGAGCAGTGTGAGAGTAACGTTTAAGGCAACAACCTACCGTAACCCCCCTCCCCGCCATTAATTGTTTGAAACATAGTTGGACTTGCCACTGGAGCACCGAGACACATGCCGGTGCTCCAGTCGCTCTGTGACAGAGACCGAGATTTGTCGTCTGCAGCAAAAGCGACACATAAGAAAACAGGGAGAAGATAAGGAGGGTTTGTGTTTGGCTCGCAGCCCATTTAACGTTAGCTATATCAGTGCCTTTTGTGGTTCAACATGTTCAATGTTGATTGACAATGGGATTATTGACAAGTTAGTACTTGGCATGAACAAATTAGAGACAGATGTAGAGCCTTAATCAAGCAAGTAAATAAATACTACCATTTGTTCCATTATAATCGAATCGGAAATCGCATTATTATTCACAATAATCGCAATAAGACTTTTTCTCCAAATTGTGCAGCCCTACGTTATACTGTAGATCACTCAATACAGAAATATGTAATAGTACCAGTTCTCAGTTTGAAGATACACCTCTAAAATGTACTGCAATCAAATACTTAAATAGCATGGGAATAAAGCTACATTACAAATACTACTTTCGGTGTTTACATTTTTGTTCACTTTGTCAGTGAGGTGTTGATTCAACTTCATATACATTTTTTGAGGCTTTATTTAGTAGTAGATGTTTTTCCTAAATTATCTCACCCTCGTATTTGAAAATGGGGGTGGTTAAATATTAGAAACACCTTGCAGTGTCCCTGTTACCTTGGACCAGTTGAGGCGCTTCATGGAGGTCTCAGGCTTGAATTCCTTCTTAGGCCTGAGGCCATAAGGCAGCGCATGGTGGGTGGGGGAGCCTAAACCACCCCCAAACCCTGGAGGGGGTGGAGGGGGAGCACCAAATGGTGGAGGCACTCCAGTTGGAGGAAGTGGAGCAGGACAGCCAGGTAAAGGAGGCGGAGGGGGAGGAGGAGGGGGAGCTGGTACCCCAGGGGCCGGAGCAGGGGGTGGAGGCCCAGATGGGAATCCTGAGGAAGATGACGCTTGTCCAACATGGGCAGAAGACAGACCCACAGGTACAGCTCCAAACTGGATAGTCAGGGACAAGAAAAAAAAATGAATAAATAAATTTTTTTTAATGAATTAAATAAACACAGAATTCACATTTCAAGGAAAAAAGAATAAAATTACTAAACCTGGAAATAAAAAAATGGAAGCAGACAAACTATAGCACTTGCCAAGTGTGTAGCATAGTATGCTTTCCTCTCTACAGATAACGGATAAGGCATGTTCTCTCAACCATCCAGCATTGGCCAAATGCTCATAAACCGTCCAAATTCTGTCCAGAACATACCCACAATAATTTGTTTTTTCCAAAGCTTAAATCAAATGTTATAACCGGGGCTACAAGGCTCCGTAAATTGTATCATACAGAGCAAATGGCTTATTGATCCATGCACCACTTTTAGATTAAAGACGCACACTAAAGGTCAGCCTTGGGCCCTTACTCTGCCACTGCCTCTAGAGGGAAAACCTTTGCTGAATTAACAAGTACAGGTTAGTGTATGTTGGTGAAAGTTAGACTGACAGACAGACAAAGACAACAACTTAAAGTGTGTGTGCACGCACACTCATTGGTTAAATGTATCAACGTCATTTGAACTAAGATACTATTTGAGTATTCATTCTGTGTTTGCTCTCTCAAATTGAAAAATTATCGGGAAAATAAAAAGGAAGTTCTCTTCCCCTCTCTGAGAGTGTAGTTATCTTGCCGTGCCAGGGCATGGGAGCAACTCTCTGGAGTGTTGGCGGGGAGGTGGGGGGTTTAAGAGTCGCCCAATAGTGAGGTTGAAGGGGGTTGTCAGAATAAATTGCTTTTAGAACAATTTCCTCTTATGGGATAAAGATCAGAGAATCAGAAATGGCCAACATGGAGGACTGGTCAGTGTTCTCATTAGACTTAGTGTCAGCTAGCCAGTGGAGCAGCCTCTATGTCAGAACCAAACTGCATGCTCCAGTGCATAAAAGACCATCCACATCCTACACCCCAAAATAAAAGAAGAACATCTCATGATAAGAATAAGAATAGAAATTTGAATTGCCATTCTTTGCTAGATTTAGTTTTTTTTGCAGAGTATTGTGCTTGTACTTGTATTTCCTCACATCTCACACCCCCTAAAGAATTAACACCATTTGCAAACCAGACAATGAAAACTAAGATATACAGGTCATGTACCTGGGACCTGAAGGCCTGCAGCTCTGCTTGGAGTTCAGCTATTTTTTCTTCACACTTAACCAGCTGAGCTTGTGCCTCCTGTCTGCTTAGAAACTCCTCATCAAACTAAAAAGAGAAACACTTATCAAATTAATCACAAAAGCACACACTGTTATTGAATTAATGTAACTAGGAATTAACATAAGCAGTATTCCTTAAAAAATTGTTCTAATCTAATGGTATAATCGTTTTATATAATCAACATTCATTTTACCTTGATTACATTAATTTAATGATTGAATTTCAACCTTTTTTAAAACTCTTTGTGCCATACACACATGCCAATCAGTGAGCCCATCCTTCTAATCAGGATATACAACCTGCTGCTAACCCATCATTTCAGCAGCTAATCCATTTGATCTCACGCGTTTCACAAGCATGTGTGTCTTTACGTTACCATAACAGAAAGTGAAAGATACATTTACAAATTGCCATTTTAATTTTCGTCTGTGCTATCCATGTCATTTTCTGCTAAGCGATGACTGCAAATTTAGAGTATATTTGGCTCTCAAGTCTCTGCTATGATCTTGTGTTACAATTTTAATAAATCAAGCCCCAAGGAATTGTCGTGGTTATGTTTACATCACAGTGTTAATGTTTTATTATCAAAATATCTGTTATTTTACAGAAAACATTAGAATAAATGTAGTGTAGTGTATAGTGGATATGTAGTCGGTTGTAAATCTAAGTTGCTTTTTGGTCAATACTTGCCTTCTGTGCCAGTTCTGAAGCTCTTTGTTCATACTCATCAGTTCGGGCTTTATCTACACACACCTCTGAAAAACAAAAAACAAAAAGCAGAATGAAAATCATTTATGTTTTAGAGAAATATAATGTGCTGTAAATAAACTGCCAGAAGAGTGTGACTTGCCTAAGAGGTGGCTGAAATCCACATCTAGGCGCTTGCGGTAACTGAAGTCTGGGTCTGTGCCACTACGGTGCAGGACAATTTGAGAGACACACTCCTCAATGACCTTAAAGTACTGGGGCCTGAGAGACAGGAGGATGAGTTAGACAAGAAAGTCAAGACATACAGTGAGAAAAAGGGACATCATTTTATATCCTTAATTTCATACTTTTAATCTGTTGTGTGTATGCATTTGTACAAGAGCTGTTATCTGAACAGAGTCAGGTGTGAGAGAATCTTGTAGAACTTGTCTCTACACTACAGTTATCCAATCAGGGCATAAACATTGCGTAATAAATATCAGGTTGGGGCTACTTAGCATCATGATTATGTATTATTATGTATTACTGAATAAAAGTCAGACTTTCCTTAATGATAAATAAAAGGGGTAACTTCGGATAATAAGGCTAAAATGAGGCCCATGTAATCACAAGGGTAGCTAAGTTAAGAATGGTTTCTTTAGAACTAATATCACTTAAAAATACCCTTTTATGAACCACTTACACCTTAATATAAGAACTTTTCTGATCATACGGAAAAATTGGGGAATACAGACCAACCTATTAGCAGTTGCTGAGTAATTGCAGTTAAATTGTTTCAAATGGCTCTGTTGAATGCATTGATCACAGAATAACCAAGGGCAAGACACAATAAGAAAAAAAGAGATATTATAACAACAGATGACATGCAAGGCCGGGAGCTACAGTGCTACTGCAAGTTAAAGGGAAAGTGTCTGTGTGCTCTGCTCATTATCTTACAACTATGCCGTTGAGAGTCCACAGCCATTCTACACCAAATCATTAACTAATACTTTGAGCCTTACAAACACTGATGATAGATCAGGGACACTGCCTGCCACTGCTTCCTAAGACAATGCTAAGGCTGGATCGGATAGTATGACTACCATATCTATAATGTTGGAGAGGAGCTGCATGATGGCATCATTGTATGAATAAAGATGAAAATATTAACAATCAAATGGAATAAGGCATGTTGTCAGTCAAGCTGCTGGTGTTCCTTTCATTACGCTGTGAATGTGGGACCCCTGTGTAAAAGGGGACTATATATTCTTGACATCAAAGATACAAATAATCATATAACTACAGATCAGTGCACTAGCCGGTTGCGAGAGAAGCAGTGTACTGAAAAATGAGAGTATGGAAGTGCTTGAGGAAAACTTGCAAATATATTATCCTTAAAGCCAACTAAACAGTTTGTGGCAAAAGTGTGTTCTACTGATTTGCCCTTAAGATCATAGCCCTCACATGCTTGTGAAGAAACAAGTCCCAATACTTGAATACAGGCTTGTTTTCTTGGTGCATCTATGTCTATCTCTGCACTCAAGCACTGAAAGCTACTGGCAACCTCAGTCCACAAGACCACAATAAATTTTGCTTACATGACGATTATAACAATTATTTTGATTATGAATTCAATTCTCTTTTTGTTATTTTAGAATTATAATAGGCCATTTAATGTGACAGTCGCCATCACAAAGTGCAGACTTTTGCTTAATGTTTTAATTTGAAAACAAAACCCCATTAGGGTCTTAAATATTGCCTTGATGGCTAAATACACAAACCCAACTGAGGCGAAAGCTGTCCAAGCCAAAGATTGTATTGTTTTTGTATTGCAGTGTAGAACCACTTACTCCTAGTCCTAGTACAGTAAGAAAAACTGTTAGATCTGACTTTTATTATGTTCTAACATAAGCCTGTTTACCTGATTTACTTACATGGGCAAGCAAGACAAAGGTCAGATTCTTTGCTGTTCATCTTTTCACACAATATGCTTTCAAGAGCAAAGGCTTTTAGGATGAGGACTAAAAAATTTGTTTGATGTCAGTCATATAACTGTACTTTTTTGGTTAACAAGTATGGTGCGGCTGCTGGAGTGTAAACATCCCCAAACTCAATTAAGAGGAAGAAAGACCCGCTAACGTTACCCTAAACTCTGCAGACATCCAGGATAGCATCTGATAACTGTGGACAGCAGTGCGTGTTTTCTTATGTGTACGGTAAATATTCTTCTGTGGTTACTAATGTTAACAAAACAGATGCAACCAATGTCATAAAACATCAATGTTGACATTTTATAATAATTTCAGATGAGGTCAGACAGAGCAAGAGCAAAGTGTCAGACACTTTAGGTGTTGTTTTTGGGAGGGAGAAAGACTGCAGGTGATACATTTTATATTCTTCAGATTAGAGCTCCATCTTTTGATCAAGCCAAGGTTTAACTCACACCCAGCTGTGAGTGAACCAACATAAAATAAGCCTTTGAAAAGTACCATTAATAGGAGATGAGAAATACTCTGGAGCCAGGGTTGTTGTAGATGGCTTGGAGATGAAAGAGACAACATTCTCTTTGTTAGCCAGTGTCACTGAGATAGTGTAAGGCAGAAGGAGTGAGACCTTCACAAACCTTCGTCAGTGTACATCATTACATGTGTTGTGATGTTTAGTTTTTACTTGACTTTCACTGTCTTGAACATGTTGCTATTGAGGCTTTTGTTTACATGTGTCTTGTTTTGTATGTAGTGTTTTTTTGGTGTGTAGACTCCAGGAAGAGTAGCTGCTACTTTAGTTGCAGCTAACAGGTATCCAGATAAAGAATAAAAGGTATGTGCTTGTGTGTACTGTCAGCTAACATGTGAGATTAAAATGCCATACTGCATTCAATATTATCAACTAGACCGCAAGTTATATCACTGTACTTTTCTGACATTTATGACCAGAGCCAAACGCATCTGGCAGATAAAGGAAATAATAGAGCTAATGAAAAGAACTGATTATAAAAACTCAAAGAATCACAGAAAGTCACAGTCACACTGGGAGACAATATGGGTAAATGTTGGACAAGCATAATGAATCAAATGAAAAAGGAAAATGAGAAGTAAAGAACTGCTTGCTTTATTACCCTGTAGATAATTAATGTTTTGTGTGCTGCTGATTTTTACCTGACCAAGTAGTCGTTGCGTATAAGCATCAGGTGCTGCATTATGGAGAGGAAATACGGCTCTGCAGTGCTGTCCTTCACCATGCTCTGCACAATACTGAATACATCCCCCACATCAGTGCAGAGAGTCAAGGATTCATACGAAAAACTGAAACATTTTCACATCAAGAAGAAATTACGAATTACCTTATTTTTAAGAATAACTGAACTTGGCTATGAATGTTTCCAATATGTATTACCCACATTTACAACAAAAGTACACTGAATCACACCTTTGAGTTATATGTACTGTTTGTAATAATGACAAGGATATTCAAGTTCACTCTTGATGTCCTCCAGCCTATGAGAGAACTCTATCATGTCCTCTTCTTTGTGCTCTTCAAATACCTTCAGCTGAATGTCAAGGGCCTCATTCCTGATGGTTGTCAGTTGCTACAGATGGATTAAGGTAGAAAAAGAAAAAGAAGGTTGAAAATGCACAAAACAGAATCGGGGAGATAAAGAATTAAGCTAAATAAATAAGACAGATAGGTTTGAGACCCTCTCTGACCATAAAGGAAGCATTAATCTAAAGTAAAGACAAGGAGCTCTAAACGCTATTACTGATCACGAGAAACAGGTGTGGGGGCCAGCTCCTTATTTGAATTTATTTGTTTACTTGGCAGCTGCAGTGACATTGTTTACAACAGGTAAACATGTTAGGTAGATGGTATAAAAGCCAGTAGGAAGATTATTAGCCCAGGCACTAGAAACATTATTGGTTTCGGGGTGCTGGCACAGACAGCAGACGTGCAAAAATCTCCTCTGTGTTTCATAAATTATTTGCTGGTGCAAATCTACAATATTTCACTGAAGTGGACAACTCATTTAAATATTAATACAAGGTGAGTGTGGGTTTGTATTATGTCTATGTATGTGTGTGTGTGTGTTGTTATGTTGTGCTTACCGGCAATATCTCTTTCAGGCCACAGCGCATAAATTCATTTCTGATGTGCAGCCTGAAGTCCAGCTCATCAGGCGATGTTACTAGTGCATTGATGAGCTGCATGCATGCCACCTGCAACATGAAGGGTACAAAGAACAAAGAGAGAGAGAAAAAAAAAAAGAGAAAGAGAGAGGAATGAGAACCAGAGAAAGAGGCGACGGACTTCTTTTTCTAGAAGTTGATGAAAAGCATGCCGGCATGCATTCTAAATGAGTTATGTCCCTTGGAAGCACAGGACCATAACTAATGCATGTCTATTTTCTCCAGTCACCAACTAGGGGGGCTGATTTTAATATTAATGCAACAACTGCAGACCCATACACACAAAACTAACAAACAGTCAATTTAAGGGCAAACTCGCTCTTTTGGAAGCTGTTTTTCACTCCCTTCTGAGTTTGGTTTACTGCACAGGGACCGCTGCGCCCTGTGACTCTTCAACTAGCCGGGCAAACACAGACAGGAAAATCAATTATTGATCAGTGAAGCGATCCGCTCATGCGTGAAAAGAGGGTATGGCAATGCTTAAGCCCAGAAAGCATATTCAGATGTCTTAAGGTTCATTGTCAATTTAATAGCAAACTCTTATTTTTGTCATTATCCTCAAGCTTAGTAATTACCTGTCTTCAAAGTACCATTTGAATATTGTAATTCAGGTAGGCAACATTACAGTGTAACAAAGATTTTGTCTTGTAGTGTGATGGGGTCAGAGACATTTGCAGTTTGCAATTATTTGAATGATTTCTAGGGCCCTCCGATTTCCGCGATGAGGAAAACACCGACGGAATCCCGGAATTTGATAGTAAAAATGGAATCAACTGTTTTCGTGGCATCTGGCATAATGCGTGCATTTTATAAAAATCGGAGTATTCCCTAGCATTATAAGCATTTTTTTCACAGCACTTAAGCCACACAAACTATACTATTATGTTTTGGAGTTATTTACGGGCGCCGCTTCTGCCCTCTGCTCTGTGTTTCACTGAGGGCGGGGCTTAACGCCTCCTGCGCAAGCACACACACGCCGTCATATCGAAGTCGGTGTGCTAGCAAGACCTCATCACTTCAACAAACTCTGAGAAGTACAACCTTATCAGCAGATGCAAGACGCAAGCTTGTTGTAGACTTCATTACAGAGACAGTAGCCTCCATCAGACCCACTAATTACAGTGTTTTGAGCAGTATATGGAGGCTGTTCTGTTGAAGACCCGAGGGAAGAAATTATCAGTAATGACCTATTTAATAGGGGACAATTCACAATACATGTATTGCAACAATGTGCAAAAAATTGTGAATTGTCCCCATAAATAACTGCATACATTTGAATATTTGCATGATCTATCAAATTCATTGATATTGATTACATTTTTAATATTTTCTTACTGCATTGTTGAAATTGTATTCATCCACCACACAATTACACACATTCTTCCTGATGAAAAGATGTGTTTAAATTGTAAAACGCAGAATTCAACAAAAAAAATTTACGGAAAACACAGAAATTGGGAAAAATAAAATGGAATCTAGACAAAATTGACACGGATATCATAGATAGATTTTCTACCTTCCACATGCTTTGTTTCAGTATACAAATACATTTTAAGTAAAAACAATAAGCAGAGAGTTGAAACCTTCTGGAGATACATAATCAACTACAAGAGACAAATGGGGAGGAGGAAAAATCACTGAAATACATACTTAATCATATTTCATGAGTAAAACATCACTGTATAGATGCTATGTTAGTATTTGAAGTTTGTCTTTTTATTCCAGTTCCTTTAACATTTTAATAATTAATATATATCCATATCTGTGTGTATATATACACTTTCCCTAAGCCAAAGGCTGACAGCAAAGACTGTATATTATTTTTTTATTTTTTTAAATCTTTATTTATTCAGGGGAGCTTCACTAAGAGGAAGTCTCTCTTTTGCAGAAGGCCCTGATCACATTCACACTGTTACACATTCACACCTGAAGCTGCCCAGTACAACCGCACCTTAGTGGTGGTAAATGAGCACTGCTTAGTCCAGGGATTGAACCGGCGACCTCCCGGTCACAAGCTCGCTTCTCTAAACTGCCCATAAATGTAGTCAAGTCAGACAGACAGCCTTTGGCCTCACATTGTCATGGTTAGGATAACAGTATATGTACTTTAATAATGCATGGGGTTAAATGGAAAGTGATGGAAAATGATTTGTGCATTAGGAAGTGGGAAGTATTAACAAAGCATCAATAAAACACAACTGCGGCCTTATAAACATTCCAGTACAAAAGATGTTTGCATAACCACACAAGTTTTGTGTGTGAAATGCTTCTGTATGAAGGAAATTCTGGCTTCCAGTGCACTCTGAATCCCTTGTTGTTATTTCTTATTTTTCTTTTGTTCAATCCCCCATCCTTCCCTCACTATTTTCCTCTATAATTGCTTCCTTACATCTCACTTTCTTAGACTGTCCCTACAGCTTTGTGCCCTGTCAAAGGTTGTTACAGCAAACTGAATACAAATTCTACAGATAATGCTACAGGGGGCAACGATAAAAATCTTTTAATTACATTTAGCACTCGTCATTGCATACGCAATACAAAACAACAAATGCTAAAGATGATCATGTGTGTGTGTGTGTAGATATTGGATGAATGATCACTCCTTTCACATCCCTCAGCTACCAATTAAAAATGCAGACAACATACTTTAATTATGAATTACATTACTGTGACACACACCGATGCGGTCTCTGTTTAAAAGAGCCCATATGCAATTTCTCAACTGAATGTATCAGCAGGTAGAAAAATCCTTCTCCCAACAAAGAGAAGGATTATAGTTAAAGGGACTGCATTCGATGATGCATGGTAAACAACAGGTACTAATGTTTCAAATTATAAATTAGATCAAGAATGATTCTTTGTTTATCATATATTAACTTTGGTTTAAATTACTGTACTTACAAAATACATGTACCTTAAATGCTAACGGTATCATCAGTGCAAGTTACTGCCATGCCAACCCCCTTCATTTTAATTGAGCAGCTAATACTGATACACAACGATTATGTTTATTCCTGCAAATGATAAAATCATATTAACAGTTTCTAGACTGACATCAATACATAAACCAATTGTTTCCAAGAACATTAGGCACTTATATAATACAGATAATTTGAGAATCCAAAACTTTGATAAATACAGGCAACATAAAGGTGCTGCAATGTTGCCATTGTGACTGGAACTGTGATTTACAACACCCAGTTTTGACTTAAAACAAGAATATAACTAAAAATGATAAAAAAAATAATAAAAAAGACTTGTCAGAACAAAGAATGTGTAAGTGACTAAGAAATTCTGAGCACAAAGTGGTTGTGATATGTTAAAATGGTCAACTTCCCAAAGCCATTACATATTTCATTTCAGAGAAATCTGAGGGAAACCAGGTGTCAGTGGCTACACTTTGCACTTACTTGTAATTGAACCGAGCGATCTCGTAGTCCCTGCACAATGGGACTGAACCTCTCGATGGCTCGCCATTCCCCTGCTGTGGTGATGGCTTCAAGGACCTTTTCCAGACTAAATGAGAGCATTAAATGCGTGAGTGAACAATGGGGGAAAATGAAGAAATACATTCCTTTAAAGACATTTTGACTATGTGCTCTCTCCTGCTCCACTGTATCCAAAGTTCCTTTCATGTCTATGTGACCCAGGTGGATGGGCTTTTCGAGGGGATTTTATCACCTCTACTGTAAAACATTACTTAAAACTTAAGTAGGATTTTGAGGACATTTTAAAATGCATAAAATGTATAATGAAGTCAATGATTCATTCATTTCAAAATTTAAAAAAATCAATAGCTTTTGAAATTTTAAGACTATTCAAATAATACCTCATAATATATAATTTGACACTGCAGTCACTTGAAATCTCTCAACCTATTTTCCCTGCCAAAATTCAAAATTTCCAGAATATTTTCTAAAAGAAGACTACACTATCTACACTAGGCACGACTCTTGCAACCCTTTGACAGTAGCACTCAAGAAAAGGCTGTATCTCACAGGACCATTTTACCCTTCCTCCAAATTATTTAATTATAAATAATAATCTGATAATTACACTGTGGCAGTTAAGTCTTTTCTGTATTTTACCTTTTACCATTATAAGTAGGGCTACAGGAAATTAATCAAAATATTATCGAAATATGGCTAAGTGCAATATCCAAATTGCAAGATCTGCAATTGACTCTTTGCTAAGCCCTGCCCCCCTTAGTTACTGTTGCTAAGTCCGACAAACTGTTGGCACTGCCCATGTCTATTACTGAACTCCCCGGAGAAATATTGTCAAATTTGTTGGAAAAAGCAATCTCACAATGAAACAGACACTTTTGCAGTTGCATTATACATTTGAATGTTGTATTCAGGCTGTCAAACAGACTCAAACTGACTCGAACGGACCAGAAAAAAATGCAAGATAGAAGCAAAAGCCTACCAATCACACAGTGATTCACACCAATGATTGAGACAAAAGACAACGATATTAAGGATCAACACTGTTCCTGTAAAGCTGGGTAGGCCTCTATTCAATATCATTAAAAAGCAGAACAGTAGGGCTTTATTACGTTACATTCAGTAGGAAGTTAGCTAGTGTTAGCTAACTAACATTACATTAGGAACAACTCACAGCCGAAATTTTTCTGGATTTATTTTAGGTTTGGGAAAGAGAATAAATCGTACTTCTCCTTTCAACATCTCTGGGTAGCGACTGTAATTATTACAAGTGCCCCAGAAACAGTGTTTGACCATATCTTAGAAAAATACAGCGAAAAAAAGCTAGAAAACGACTCCTTTTGCATTAGAGTCAATGGAGCACAGCCATGAAAGTGTCGGACCTCAGTTAGAGCGAGTCCTATACTGCGCTGTGATTGGTCAGCTTTGTATTCGGGGCGTGGCTTAGAGAAGGGTCAATTAAAGCAAAATGTGTCACAACATACCATTATAAATGAACCACTGTGGCACTACAGACATGCCCTGGCATACCAATCATATTTTCCAGATGTAAGGGAACATGCTTGTTGGGTACAGAGCCCAGTAAAAATCACATCTGCATTTGAAAATGAAATTTCCCACTAAAATCATGACTCATATTGCAATCGCAAAATCTGTCAAAATATTTTTGCAAATCGTTCAGCCCTAATTATAAGCCCTGGAAAAACCTTTCATTTGAATTGGCAAATAAAAAGTTAGTTATCTGTACAGTCCAAGCTAATGAGTCTTGATTTTGTGAAATCGAAAAAGACATAAATATAAAATAAATGTATAGATATAATGGTGTGTTAATGTTTTGTTGTTGTGTTACTCTTAATGTGTGCTTTCCAAATATTTTTACAAACTATATTTTGATGCTTTGGCAAAACTGTTCTTGAACCTTTTATGCCAATAAAGCCCTTTGAATGGAATTGATATGTTGACAGAATGAATGAAGCTAGAACATACGTGTTCTCTTCGCCCACAATGCAGATGGCTGACAGCAGCTTTACCACGTCAGTCATCATGGCAGACTGGGTGGGATCAATAGCTCTTGCCAGTAACGAAAGACTTTTCTCCTCCCCAAGGATTCGATCCAAGCCATACTGCAGTAAACACAAGAACAAAACATGATCACTCAGATACGCTGTAATTCTGTCCATTTGCCATAAGAAAACGATGTCACGTGAAACGGTAAATCTAAATCATATTACCTTATGAACACAAAATTAATTCTAGTTCAATATACTTACCTGCACTGCAAATTACATTTGCATGATGAAATATCTGACCGAAGAAAGAATCTCTGTTAAAATAGTTCCATCTATAATATTTTGTAGCTCAGCACAATTTATAGTGCAAATAAACTTGAACCAGAAAATGTCATTAAATAGCAAGGTAATTTTAAAACTGATTTAGAATAATTCTGCTATGTGAGTTTTACCGTATGTTGTACACTAAAGCCAATAAAGACACAAAAAAACAAACTTCTAAACAAACACCATCATTACAAAAAGCAATATTGTATGTGTAATTGTCAATATAGTATCAGCATGTGATAACAGCACTGCACAATTAAGAAGCGCTTTAACAATAGTCAGAGGAACTATAATTATTGTCTGTAGTTAATTTGTACAGAGAAAATCAAATTATCAAGATTTTGTTAGAAAGTAAAATCTTCAGTACAAATAATACATTAAAATTAATTCACTCTTTGTACAGCAAAACGATTTAAAAAGGGCTTTGTATGCAGGCATGGTAGTGACAATAAATAAATCAAATTTCTGTTTGCCTGTTTGATTTGGGCTATACATTTGAAGAAGCTAATCATGATAGATGGTATTGTGATTTTGTCTTTGTATCTGAATAGTTATGTGCAAATAGCTAAATTGTATGCTTACTTTGTAAGAAAAATTACTGTTTTGTTGAATTTTCAGTTTAGTTTCTATTTTCTTCTGCCACAGTATATTTCCCTTTCTTCAGCTTGGCTTCACACATAAACAGTTTATACAATCGATGGCCTGACAAAACGTACTTCATGACAAGTGCGCAGTAATCAAACGGAGGAAATGTCAGTAGTTGTTGAATTTCAAGAAACAAAAGAAATATGAAGTGTATCACTCTTCTGTTAGTGCTGAAAAGAATGGTTCATACTGCAAAAGCAGATTAGTCAATTCATCACATTTTGAAAAACACACACGTCTGATCTATACTCCATGTCTTTTTTTTAAATTGTTGTCAGTTTTCTCTAAAAACAAATATTCTAAATCTTCAATACCACTTTTTACATACACAGTGAAGTACAGAGTAGATAAACTTTGTAAATACTGACCGGAAATTAAGTCACAGGATGCTAAGCAAGTAATGATAATTAAACAGAACTAAAAGCTCAAAACTAAGACAGATACAGTATATACTATAAGCTTTTATAATAACTATGAATCATAGCAAACAAGTCAATCTATACAGTTAAGTTGTTCAAAGGGAAGTTTCACTGTGCGGTAACTTTTAGTATTTCATTTTTATGCAATTGGTGACTGACAATAAGAAATATGCAACTGTGTGACTTGATGCAAGAAGTCAGAAGAAAAAAAAGCTACACTGACAGTTGGCAGAGAACACCTGTCTTCTTGGCATTGTGGGTACATCCCATCCCAAGATGCCTCTATAGCAAGGGAAAGGTCTGGGCTGAAAGAGAGGCCTACGGGTAAATGCTGGCATCTGGCGCCTGTTGAGACGCAGGATTACATGAGACCTTGCAGCACACTTTGTGCCAGAGCAGCTGTATATCTGTCTCCGCTGGGTTTTAGTTCCATGTGGCAAGATTTCTTTTTCTCTATAGCTACTGTGGACTAACACCACACAAGGAGGAAAAGCTGAAGCACAGTAAAATAATCTATGAAATAATATTTTTATGCACAAAAGCTTAGGGCTGGGCAATAATTTAATATTATAGTCTGTTGACCTTAAAAAGAATAAACTTATCGCAATATGATCATATTGTTATATAGTTTTGCTAAATTCTGTTGCTTAACTAACACATTTCTCAAAGAAACTATAATTAAATAATAACAAAATGAGTAATAAAAGTTTTGGAAGAGCAAAAACATCCATAGTGACTGATTCATGGTACTTTCAGGTGCATTAAGGGGTAGGCTACAAATGACTGAAGAAAATCCATTTAACACACATAATGCCATGATTTAAATTAGGTTGGTGAGAGATGCATGTCAATTTTAGTCCATTTTTTGTTTATTGCCCTGCCCTACTTTTTATGTCCTTTTTGTTTCTTTTACTTTTATAGTTAAAACTATACTATGGCTTATTTGGAAAAAATAGTTCCAAGAGCTATAAAGTCCCAGGAAATAACCTCAGTAACTAAATCAATAACTAATAGTATATTTTGTGTAATCCTTTTGTACTTCTCTAGAACTATAAGGATTAGGCTAACAGACCAACTCCTGACGTTAAAAAATGTCTGGCTTCGCATCACAAAGTACTTACTCAGGAGTGGGAACCTTTGATCTGTGCAAATGTCACACATTTGTTATCCAAATTGCATCTGGACATTAGTAAAACTCCCTTCAACTGGCAGGGAAAACTCCCTTCAACATATTGTTGCGATGCTGCTCTTCTCCTCCACCAGTCATGGGCTCTTAGTAATCCCTGGTGCCTAATTTGGTAATTGCATGAACACACCAGATGTTGATGTGGATGGGATTAAAATTACCCTTGGAGATCAAACTCAACAAGTTATTTCAGATAGATTTTCCCCAAGGTAGAAGGACAAAAAAGTTATATTAATTCTAGGATGTATTTCCTAATAATATTAGAGTAGGAATAGTCAAATTTTGAATTCGGGAACTCCATGGGGCAGTAGTGTATAACAACCACCACACCTGCCGCTTTAATGAGCCTATGAAAGTTCAAAGAATCTGAGACACTCCCAAATAAAGTTAATGTGGCACATTATGCTCACAGACACAAACAATTCCCAAAACTACAAACAATTAATCAGATTATTAGGTAGTTTTACCAATTTCAAAAGATCAGAGAATACAGTCTTGCTGACTGAGTTTTGTAAAATAATAATATAAAAAATACACATGCACATAAGTAAAACTAATTGCACATTTACTGGTTTTGGGGAATAAAAGCATTCATTTAAGGTTAAAGAAAGTCATGTCAATAGGCAACTTGCTATACAACAAAAACTTATTATAAATTGAGTATACTCACAAAAAATCTACTGTCATTACCTTATTGTTCATGAAGGCTTTAAGACATTGGACAACTTTATGTTGGTTCTTTTTGTCAATCTTCTCTTGCCTAGGGACACAAGGGAATAATGAGGAGCAGTTAATCTCTAATGTACAGCGCACAGACTGCAAAGAAAGACACTGTTAACTTTAACACTGCCAATGTTTTGTTATTAGTAAGTGTATAAATTTGGGGCTGAATTACAGTATTTTGTTCCAATGACATTTATTGATTACTACTTATTTGTTAGTAGTGATTGTATGAATTCACAAATAATTACAGTGACATATGTAAGCGTCTGTAGAAGACTACACATGAGTAAATGCATAAACTTACTGTTTCTTGAACAGCAACCTTTCCAAAATCTCCAGCAGCAGTCCAAGACCCTCATGACCAAAGCTCTGCACCCAACTGAAACAACAAACATTAAATCAATATCACAACAGTGCACGATTGACAACAACACTTTCATACTCATCTACCACTGTGGGAAGCTTTCAGACAGAAAAACACATGTAGAATTCAGTACTGTGTGCTGGGGAGAAAGGCAGCAGTAGTAAACATAGCACTCCATACCTGAAAAACTGCACTAAAATATTACAGACAGAGGGAAACTAACTAACTAACAGCTAAGATGAGTAGGCACATGGCTCAATACATGGACAGGGCCCAGAAGGGAATGGGCAATAATACCAGGGGAGCCAAACACAAGAAAGCCTACGACTCAATGCCACATACATGGATACTGGAATGCTTGGAAATGTACAACATCAACAGGACACTAAAATCCTTCATCTGGAACTCAGTAGGGCTGTGGAAAACAAGTCTGGAAGCCAACTCAAAGCTAATTGCAAGTCACCATCAAGTGCAGCATATACCATGGTGATACACTATCCCCGCTGCTGTTCGGCATAGGCCTGAACCCCCTCAGCCAGATCATCACAAAGACTGGCTACGGATACCGGTTCCGAAGAGGAACAACCATCAGTCACCTCCTCTATATGGATGACATCAAGCTGTATGCCAGAAATGAGCGAGACATCGACTCACCGATCCACACTACCAGGATCTACAGCAACGACGTTGGAATGTCGTTCGGACTGGACAAGTGTGGTCGCATGGTATCAAAAAGAGTGAAGATGATCAGAACCGAGGGGATTGAACTACCACAAGGCCACATTGCAGATGTTCAGGACAGCTACAAATACCTTGGGGTGCCACAGGCTAACGGAAACCATGAGGAGGCAGCAAGGAAGCTGAACGGGAAAAACAAGATCCGAGCCATCAACACATACGCCCTGCCTGTCATCAGATACCCTGCTGTTATAATAAACTGGCCAAAGGAGGAAATAGATGCTACTGAAATCAAGACAAGAAAACTCCTCACAATGCATGGAGGGTTTCACCCCAAATCCAGCACCCTGAGACACCAAGCATAACAAGGGAGTCCAAGAGCTAGTGAGTGTCAAGACCACTGTCCAGGATGAAACGGCAAAGATCCAAGAATACATCAGGAAGATGGCCCCCAAAGATGAATGTCTTAGTGAATGCCTCAGGCAGCAGAAAACCGGAGGGCAAGGACAAGGAAGATGAAGAACCTTCATGGAGAGAAGCCGCTGCACAGCATGTACTACAGACAAATAGAAGAAGTGGCTGAAGAAATCCTACCAGTGGTTGGAAAAGGCTGGACTAAAGGGCAGCACAGAAGTACTAATCATAGCGGCACAAGAACAGGCACTCAGTACAAGATCTATAGAGGCTGGGGTCCACTGAGTTGAGTCTGAGTGGCTGCCACTGTACATGGACACTTGAGGCAGGTTCAGTGTTAGGAGGTTGTAGTGAACTCTTTCTGGATCCAAATATTGTGCGAGAATTGTCAGAACAAAGCAGAAAACCTGGCAGTCATTTACATAAACCAAAGACTTCCTTTAGTCTTTTCACTTCCAGATTACAATGTGTGTGAAACATGTACTTAATGCAGATGAATGAGCATGGTGTGTGTGATAGTGGTGCATGACTTAATAGAAGCAATACACTATTGCCTTATAAAAATAAATCCAACTTTGAGACTTCTTGGATATAATCAAAACAGACTGGCAATAATAAAACTGTCTCTTTTCCATGTTACAGACACAAATTATATGCTGGAGATCCACCCAAGAGCCATGGTGGGGAATGGGACAATAACCAGATATACATTTAAAAGTAAACTTGAGTTGCAACAATTAATTAATTAGTTGTCTATTATTAAATTAATCGCCAACTATTTTGATAATCGATTCATGAGTAATTTAAAGTAAAGATTCTCTGATTCCACCTTCATAATTGTGAATATTTTCTGGTTTCTTTCCTCCTCTATGACAGTAACCTGAATATATTTGGGTTGTGGACAAAACAAGACATTTGGGGACGTCATCTTGAGCTTTCGGAAACATTGATGGATGCAGTTCACCATTTTCTGACATTTTATAGACCAAACTATTCGATTAATCGAGAAAATAATACAGAGATTAATCAACAATGACAATTATCGTTAGTTGCAGCCCTAAAAAGAACGGGACATTTTTAACTCAAAATAAGGATTCAAATAAGTAGCACAAACAGAAACACATATTCCATTTTCAGTACAGACAAAAACCTTTAGGTATGCAGAAAACAGAGACAAAGAAAGCACGAGTGAGATTGTGAGTGACTGCACCTCCCTCTTGATTGAAACTGAATAACATCTCTGAACATTAGCATTCCGTGTTTGTACTCTACTAATCAACGCGCTGCATGCCTCCCAGCATCAAATCATACAGAAATTCTCAAGGTGACAACATAAAATGGAAGCCGTTATCTGAATTTAATTTCTTGAAAAGAAGTATGGGGTTGCAGGTAGATGTTTGTCCATGAGTTTATTTGTCTGTTGTTACACTGTTGTGTCTGGTAAAGAATAGTGACAAAAGTATTTTTAGTATTTAAAAACTAGGGAGATCTCTAACAGATGGTAGAGGCTTATTTTGTTTGTTTCGTCTTATTTACCTTACATCACACCTTGATTACACACAGGTGTGACACGTGGTTAACATTTTCCACTAAATGAAAAAAAGAAAAGCTGCTCTAGTGATGATTAAGGTGAGTTTGAGTGCAGTGACTCAATATATGTGTAAGGGTATTAGTTTCAAAGAATGGTTACACGTCAAATTTGAAGGTAAAGTTACTTTATTTTTAAAGGAAAAAGTCCAATGCACCAATGCAGCAAGGCAGCGCCCTGACTGGCACTAAGGCACTTAAAGGTGGGGTAAGCGATTCTGGAGAAATCCAATTCCATGACACAAATTTAAGGTAGTCATTATTATGCCAATTGTCAGGTCATAATTTTATTTAGGGATTATACTAGAATATGTTTACATGGTTTCATTTTCAAAAAACACCATATTTTTTTGTCAATCTGCACATTGCTGCAGCACCCCTTTTCACCCTGTGTGTTGACTCCTCCAGTTTAGAAGAAATAGAAACAACAACAGTGATCTTGAAATGTCCTTAACATAACATGACAAGTAATTCAAGCATATAAAATGGTAATGAATGGTTTGTTTAAACAAAGGCTATATCTTTATTTTAAAAAATCATAACTGCCTTTTACTCACCAAAGAAGGACACCAGGCAGAGAAGCAGTGTAGGCCCATGCATCATCAAAGTGTATGACTATGTGTATGTGAGCATACACGGTCAAGAAAATGAGGGAAGCTGACAAAAACTGTCATCGCCATGCTGATGAGTACAAGGAAGGCGGCTGCCAAGGTAGCTAAGGAATGACGCTCTCATGTTGGAGAGAAAAAAAATCTATTTACCCTTCACTTCTCACTGGGCCATGGCCCAGGCTATTCTGGTTATAAAGTAGGCAAGGCGAGGGTCTTGACATGAGCTTCATTGAAATGCATAGCCCAGTGGCAACTGCATGCTAGTTTTTCACTATCAGTAGGTGAGGCAGAGAGCAAAGGAAAACAATCAGTTGAAAGTGGTGATATAAGTCATCTTTCAAAAGGCTTCTAGTAAAGGACCTGGCAATTTTAGAAGATCTCAGAGGCCAGAGAGGGACAATGTAATAGCTTTCCACATTACCTTGTGAAAAGTCTTATCTTCAAGAACAAGAATCATCAGGCTGAGGCAACAATGTATCTAAGGGTTGTGACTTTGTGTCATAGTTGAATGTCAGGAGGAGCTGGGATAAGACACACAAAGCTGGACAGACACTGCGATTCTAGTGGTATAGACTGCATTGTGTTGACTCAAACTACACGCTTTAATGCTCACACTGAGCATAAGTGCGAAACCAACCGGTTGGTTTTGTCTAGTGAAAATTCCAATAAAGTTTTACTCAAACAATATGGCTACATCCTCAAAAAGGAGAACAGGCCCCCATTACTTTGTGAAGTTCTATTATGAAACACGCAGACAATATGGTCCGACTGTACTGCAGCGAAGTTCAGTGTTGTATGACAGCAGTTTCATATAATGGATCGCCTTACAGCAGTTGTGTGGAAAATCAGACCGTGGAGCCAGAGAGCCGACCAAAATTTTGAACATGCCAGTAATCCAATCGATCATCTGAGAGCCACATCGCTGATTGTTTAGGCAATTAATCAGGCATTGTGACCCCCTTCAAACAGCTTGTCAAACAACAACTGACCTGGCAGAAATTTGGTTCAGTTCATCGGGGGCAACCAAATTCTGGGCTAAATTCAGGCCAAATCCATACAGTGTCTTAAAGGCACCAATGGGGGCACCAACGGGGTTGGGGCTTGTGTGTTCTAATGTGACCTGTCAGCTATCTTTTATCTGTTTGTTTGTCATGATTACTGGATTACAAACATCATGTGTTCATACACTAATCTATAGCTAGTTTATACTTCAAAGGACTATACTTAAGGCTACAATTTTTAGTAGTATTGAAGTTGGAATCATTAAAAATGTTGATGATCATAACTTTCAAAGAGGAATCAGTAGATATATTCATATAGCGACCTGTTTCTTTATCCTTCTGCAGTTAAGTCGTTTGTATTTGACATGCTGTCTAGTCTCTAAAGTAATTAGTATTTTAGATTTTTTTGCTAATCTAGCGTGCTCTGGCAGCCCTTGGGTTTCATTAGTTCCTGACATCTGGCTAGAAACTTCAATCACATTCTCTGGCTGAATGTCCTCAGTGTTTGTAGCTGTGTTGTGCAAAAATGATCTGAAAACACTTTCCACAGCTTGTCTTATCTGACTGCAGGAGAGACGTGTACAGTTTCCTAGCCCTTAAATGTTAATTTAGGTAACAGAGCAGATCTATAAATGTGGCTTTAAGAGCTGCAGCAGAAATTTTGGTGTATGGTCAGTTTAATTATTTTCTATCTGTTAGCAGTGTACAGATTTGACAAAAATAT